GAACAAGAGTGCCTCAAATTCAAACTGAACTCTTCAGCATTTCATTTCTGTTTCATAATCAAACCCCATAATCGATATATCAATCCACAATCATCATCAACCCATTTAGACGTTCCACTGCTGGCACGTGTCTCCTCTCAGGCGAGGATTGAGGCCATAGTCTGCCCTGTTGGCCCAATGCGTGTTGGGGACTTCACACGTTTTCCGAGAGTTGTCAACCTTCTTTGACGTCCAGGTTTTATCACCATGTTTTCCTTCACCGAAACTCCTGGTAAATTTCGCACATAAATTCTGAAAAACTCATAGGTGCGAGACCGGATTCGAACTTACGGCCTCTGCTTGCGAGGCGGTAAGTCAAACCATTAGGATATCACCGCCAATCCACAATACTGGTATAAAAATGTCAATACATGGTACCGTATTCAATATAGTGCGAGAATACAGTGAAGAACATTTTTTTAAATTTATGTTTAAAACCTGTAGGTGCAACTACAGTAATAATGTGACAACCCTACGCTCTGAGCTAAGTGTAGGCATTGACACGCCTAACAGGCGGGAGTTGCTCTACTTGTTTTATTATAATACTATGGTTCTACTTCTGAGAACGGGTGGACGTATATGTTCCTGATACTCTTAATTAAAAGTAACTGATGACAAAGGGTGTCGGCTTAAAAAGCGATGCCGTTAGCATACTAAAAAGGACTATCAGAGTAAATGTGAATTTGAATACGTGTTTCAGAAGGCAAAGGTATTGTGAGTTCTAGCAAAAGCCCCGAGATACTGTCAGACAAGTTATTTACACAACTTTGTAAGTACAAGAACAACCGTTTAACTGCATTTCTTTCTGTGTATTTCTAAATATAATAATATATGTTTATTCTTTTCAGTTATGACATATAACAGAATGGTAAAATTAAAAGGTGAATTCGCTATTTCCTTTTAAATCATGTACATGCAAAAATAGCGATAACGGAGTTGCGCGTTTCGTTTCGTCTGTTCGGACTTCGTCTGATCAATTTTGCGTCAATCTGCCGTCCTTATCATAACTAACGTAATCGAAATTTTTAGCGAAATTTAGTTATTAACATATCTGAAATCTGCGAATGGAGGCAAACAACCCCTACAAGCGATTTTTTTTATATCTTATTTAGTTCGGGACGAACATACCTTGTGGTAAGCGTCAAGCCTGTGCATAACAGTTGCAGTGCCGCGCAAAGTGACAACCACAAATGACGCCCAAACTCACGAGGGAATAAATATAGGGCCATACAAATATTTCTCCCGGCCCGGATATCGAACCTCCCAGGTTCGACTCTACGTGGCAGTCCGGCATGGTAACATGGTAAAATGGATTAATTCAACACTTTCACGCGGAATCAATGAGAATGAATCAGAATCGCAGAATCCCTTTGAGGTTGTATAAACTCTTAAGCTAAATCAGCGAAATTGATATTTTTTTAGGAAAAAATACTTTAGTCGCTAACACCTCGAAAGTTACTGAATTGCACATGCATTAGTCATGACAAGGAGGTCAGAAGTGTGGTGATTCCCTAAATTGCACGAGCTTTAAAAAGGTACATTTATATATGTATGTATTTTTTGTCTATTCAGATTATAATTACTGCACTCTAAATATACAGAAGCCTCGAATGTTATAGAAATTATTTATCAGTCTTTAGATTTTCTTGTGTTAGTTCTTTCGGTAGCAGACCGTAACCGCAAGTCTATTGACACATTCCAATTCAAATTACGTTTGTCAATCTTTAGTGTTTGGTCACGGTCTTAAACTATACATGACATCAGCGACATCTTTGTATTAGCATATAATGACGTCATTGTGACGTCATGTCATTGTAATTTACTTATTCTTTATGAACTATAAAAATAAACAGTGTATTTTCAGTAACTAATTTATAAATTTTGTTGTCACCGCCATTGCTGTATTTGTTATGAAATTACGAAAAACAGAGACAATATAATGCCGCTACTTCACAAAACATAGAAAAATGTATTTAAGGATCACAAAACAATATTTCACAGTTCCTGTAAACAGTTAGTTTCAAATTATAAACATAATTAAAGGGTTATATAACTTTTGGCGGTAATACGCAATTATGATTTTATTACAAATTCATTTGCGCTTATGCATTTTCCTGAGTTTTTACCGGTTACCGGAGACCGTAGTACCTATTATGGACGCAAATAAAAATGTTGTAATCTTTTTAACAAGTCTAATGTAATGTCAGGTAAATTTAAAATTATTATTCAAATTTCAGCCGACGACTTACTTTATCTTGATTTGCTTCAAGCTCTGGCCTTGAGCGGGCATGGTAGGTGTTACTTTGAATAAGTATGTGTCGTAACTATTCAGCTTTATTTGCACTGATCATATTTTGTCTTTATTTAATTTTTTTCAGTTTTTGAGAAGTCGGGAAAATTCTATGAGGACATGTGTAAGTGTCATTTGTTACAGTAGATAAATTTTTCGTCCTTCGGGACAGGCTAAGACCGTACTGCCAGAACTTAGATAGTAATTTTTCTTCAGTAGGTTAATATTCTGCCATTTTGCGCGGGATATCGTTTTATTTTTACGGTGGCCATTTTGAAACTCTGTCATTGTTATTTTGTAATGTATTTATAGTTTTTTTTTGTACTTTGCTTTTCGCGGCTAGTGTTTCAGCCAATGACAAGGTTTTTAACTTAAGGCGTAAAAATGAGAAAACCTAAAACTTAAAAATGAAATTTCGTAACATGGTGAGGAAGAGAGAGATCGAGAGAAAAAAGGGATAAAAAATCTTGACAATGGTCACATTGTGACAAGCTTGCTTATACAGGCTGTAACAAAAAAGACGTTAATAATAAAACAAAAGCAATGCTCCCTTTGAGTGAATGCGGAACAATAGTATTGACGCTTTGTTCTATTATGGTTCCGACCCGATCTTCTAACTGTCACAAGTATATTTGACGAACTCTGTGGCTTAGCAGTTAGAACTGCTAGATTAAGGGGTTCAGGGTTCGATTTCCGGTCTTTTTGAAATTGTGGTCCCCATTATAACGTATATTAGGTACGGTTCTTTCAAACCACAGAACCACTTTTAAAATCTACCACATTATTATTATTATCAAGAGCCGTTAAAAATATTTTTGTTTTGTAGAAAAGAAACAAAAGTTTTCTACAAACTCAGTTAGTTTTCTACAAACAAAAACTATTGTGACCATGATAACAAATAACTCACATTATTAACGACGAGGTCGTGATGAATCGACAGTATGCACTACAGGCGCTGGATGAGAAGGTCCCTGGTTCGATTCCCGGTAGGACCAATTTGGAAAATTAACTTTTGTAAATAATTTTTAGAGAGAGAATATCGTTGTTCTGATAATACTAGTATCGGGAGGCCCCTAGTTTGACACCAGGATTTGAGAACAGTCAATTTCTTATTACCTATTTACTTCCAGTTGCGAGCTACCTCAACGCATGGTCTGATTATCCTAAGAAGGAAACGCAATCGGAATGTCAAATAGTCCTCATAGGAAAAGTGGCGACCGATACTCGAAAGAGAAGTTAGTAATTAAACAATTTATTATAAAAATTATAAATGAATAGTATCGATGTTATTGTACGGATAACGGCACATCAGACTACACATTTTTGTTCGAAAATTGCCTCCAGTGCAACGGAACAAGATACGTCAATGTGTAGCTTGGTGTGCTGGCGTGTGTACATCGCGATTTATTTTGTATAATATCAGGTGATGGTACGAATAAGTCGTGCGCCTGATAGTAAACTACACGCCTGTCTATCACAGTTGCACTCACTTAGAGCTTTAAATCGCAAAGACCTGAGGCGCACTGCATCTGCGCCCGTTACCTTGAGACATAAGTTGAAAAGTCCCATGTACCCGTAATTTCACGAGCACCCTTATCCTTCAAAACCGGAACACAGTAATGCTGACATTACTGCTTGGCGGCAGACATAGATAAGGTACTACTTAACGGAGGTCTACTGCTACTAAATGATGTAATACTACTTACTTACTTAGTTTTATTTGAAATGAAACTATTTTTATCGGATCTAAGTACGTCTATTTGATTTTTAGCCACCCGTGACCATGGCACTTAGACAGGGTCCGATACGTTCGTTTGGTTAAAAAAAACGAACAAACTCTATTTGTTTAATTTCCTGTGTAAATAATGTCATGTTTTCAGCGTTAAAAATTGCGCAAAAATTGGCTAAAAAACGAAAATTGAAAGTTGGGCGCAAGTCTATATCTATATCTGAAACGAACGAAACCACGTCACCTGGATCAATATCCACTCTACAAACTGAAAGTAAGACTGATCAACTAATTGACTAGTTACAATATTATCAAATGCAGAACATTATTTTCAATTAACTTGACATCAATAAACATAGTATTTCTATTATTGAAACAAAAGAACTTTTGTAAAAATAATTTTTACATTTCTATTTTAAAAAATCTGACCTCAAAAATTTGCTCATCGGCTTTTTTATTGGCATTAGATCTAAGTTTTATTTTACAGCCAATATTTATTGAAATTGGTTAACAGAAAGTCCGCGGAACCGGATTCATCCACTAGTTTGCCACTGAGTGGAATATTCCCTAGTTGTGGAATATTTTCTTCAAATTACATTTCAATACCAATATCCCGGTAACTTATTTCAATAAAACTTGGCAAATAGTTGTATTCAGTTTTTTTAATAAAAAAAGTTGTAATTTAATAAACCTAATAACTTAAATATCCAGAATATACAGATAATATATACAGATTGTTTGGTCTTAGTAATGTCCCAAAGTAACAAAGCAATTTTTATTGTCACCTACATCTAGGTGAAACTGGTATGTATTATCTTCAATGTAATATCTCAGGTTTCTTACTATAACAACATCACGTGGACATATTAATGTCCCGTATTTTTTTAACGTGACTTGTAATAAAGAGGTAGAGGTAGTAGTAAATAGTCATAATATGAGTAGATTAGGAAAAAAAGGTTAAGGAGTTTTCATTTTTAATAAGTTAACAACCATGACAATTACTTGGTCATGTGCAACCTTGTGCAACCTTGGTCATGCCACTGTTATATATATATTTATTTCATAGATCTATTCTATTATAGATTTTAAATATATATATATGTATATATATATAAGAATGAACCAAAGATCTTATTATTATTTGGTATCTTTAAGGACATATGAAAGTAATGGAGGCCGTGTCTATACCAAAACCTGCACCTACGAAACCTGGACTTCATGAACATGAACCAACTACAGCACTGACTGAAAGTAAGATTTGTTAACCGATTGGTGTATTGAATAGTACTTTTAATAATATTATATTATCATAATCATCATCAATATATTTTATACATCCCCCTGCTGGACATGGGTCTCCTCTCAGGCGAGGGTTTAAGTCATAGACCGTCACGCTGGTCTAATGCGGGTTGGGGACTTTACACGTTTTCCGAGGATTGTTTTTTTTAAAATATCAAGTGACGAGGTGAACAAGTCGTGCGCCTGATGGTAAGCCACTCGCCTGTCCCTAATAGCTGCAGTGCCACTCAGAGTGCCAAATCGCATTTCGAGGGGCACTGCCACTGCGTCCACCACCCTGAGATGTAAGTTGATAAGTTTCATGTGTCTGTAACTTCACCAGCACCCTTGCCTTACCCTTCAAAACCGGAACACAGTAATGCTGACACTACTACGTGGCGGCAAAAATAGGTACGTTGGCAAAACTTCGTGAACTCTTTCACAATGAACTCTACTGCTACCGTTGTGAACCTTCTTCGACGTTATAGGTTTTATTATGATGTTTTTCTTCACCGAAAAGCTCACGTTAAGTTGCAAATTAAATTAATTAACCCAAGTAGGGTTTAAGGGCTTGTCGGTATACTGCAGGCTTGTAAAAAGTGATTGACTGACTAGTTGATTTCTATGAGATAATTTGTATACCCAGTACCGTTTTATGTAAATTTCTTTGCTGTTGGTAGTATCTCAAACTAACAAAGCATTTAGGAAATGAAACTATTTTTCCGGATTTAAATCGCGTATATTGTTTTTTCAAATAAACTAACGTTTCGGGCCCTTTACAGGTCCCATGGTCACGGTTGACTGTCAAATAAAAAATCAAAAACAGTTTTATTTCCTGTGTGCAACAATCGCGAAAACCTAAGAACTCGATATAACAAAGCATTTTTTTTTAATATCACCTAGGTCCAAATGAAATAGGTATGTATTTATATTAAATATAATGTCTCAGGTTTGTTACAATACACGTGGACACATTAGCATCCCGTGTCTATAGATCATAATTAATGTCATTATTTGTATCTGTAAGGATATATCGGGCTAAAAACGAGATGATCCTTTGACAACCACCGCGTCGAGCGGCTTGCACACGGTATTTCGTGGTGTCGCTATCTCTGAGGTCCCGGGTTCGATTCCCGGCCGGGTCAATGTAGAAAGACTAACTTTTTTGTATTGTCTCGGGTCTGGGTGTTTGTGGTACCGTCGTTGTTCTCGATTTCCGTAACACAAGTGCTTTAGTTACTTACTTTGGAATCAGAGCTACGTATGTGATGTTGTCTAATATATGTTATATATAACTCAATTTTGCTAAAATAAGGCAGAATTGCATTGACTTACAAATAAATGGACGACGGGTCTAATACAAAAATCACGAAAAAAATGTCCCAAGTCAACCTATTTAAACGTAGTGACATGTCAAGGAATATGAAAAAACTAAAACGTTGAATTTAAATTATAATGTCATCGCAGTACTGTCTAATTTTGCTTGCTTCGCTGTCAGTCGAACAAACGAAGACTAGAGCGTGAATGACGCTCTGTATACGATTTTAACGCCCTATAAGTGCGGACACTTTTTAGCGCGGACCCGACGTCAATATAATTGTAAGTCAATGCAGAATTGACAATATTGCAACTCCTAAACTTCTATTTTAATAGATACTACCTCAGCTTGAATTAAAATTTTTCCGGTACTAATACGGTTCATTTTGCTTGGATCGTGCGGCAGTGACACTGGGTTTATTTCAGAATTTTTTTTTAAACACTCAACATTACCCCCGCACTAGGGAAACCCTGTGTCGCGGGTGCCATGGCCACACAAACAACCACAAATTACACCCAAACTCACGAGAGAAATAAATGTAAGCCATACAAACATTTCTCCCGGCCCGGGAGTCGAACCTGGCACCTCTGCGTGGCAGTCCGGCATGGTAACCGTTCGGCCACGGAGGCAGTTAATTTATTTATATTTAGTAGTTAATTTATTAATTTATACAAACGAAATTAAAGCCATTTGAAGAATGTAGGTATATCGTATACTACTCGTATACGTATTCTACTTGGTTTGTAAAATATCTATTGCATATAGTGGTATTTTAGTAAAATTTCGAGGTAAGTTTGTATGTGTTTTTTTTATCGTGAAAATTTTTGGGAAGCGTGTTTTCACACCGTATTCTAATTAGTGGAGTCGCAACGAATATTCGGTTACTATTCGGTATTCGGCTTATTCGGCCTATTATTTGCTATTCGGCCGAATACCGAATATCAAATCACTATTCGACCAAATACCTAAAAACAGGAGGAATAGATAAGAAAATACAGTAAATTATCACAAATAGTAACTTCTATGAGATAAAAAAGGTAACAAATCAAATGAACACTACCTACTTATTATGTAATTTTGTCATGAAATCATGATTAAATAAACGCTAACAAAATTAACTTAGTACTCATTATTATCAAATGAAAATAAATATAAGTTTTTGAAAGTTAATCAAACTGAAGTGAAATAAGCAATTACTTTCTTCGTTAAGACGTCATAAATTTGAATTATAAAATTGATAATAAAATTTCCTTTTTTGTTTCTATTTACAAAATCATGCATCATTACTGGTTTAATTTAATTTAACTCACATATACGTGTGTATATATGAGCTATATTTGATATAATGCGGTTTGCGCGCCAATTTTCGTAAGATTATTAATTAGGCCCATTGACTTACAAATAAATGGACGACGGGTCTAATACAAAAACCACGAAAAAAATGTCCCAAGTCAACCTATTCGAAATTTAAATTGTTATGTCATCGCAGTATCGCGCTGTCCGTAGAACAAATGAAGACTAAAGCGGAGTGTCGCGCTCTGTATACGATTTTAGCGCCTTACAAGTGCGGACACTTTTTAGCGCGGACCCGACGTCCATATAATTGTAAGTCAATGATTAGGCCGAATAGTTTGGCCGAATATTCGGCTATTCGACCTCGCTCCGGGCCGAATATTCGGTATCCGACTTGAAGGCGAAATAGTATTCGTTGCAACACTACTAATTAGTGTATATCCTCAATTTTACTATATATTTTTTCCAAAGTGATCGATTCAACACTTTCACTGTTATGTGGAATCAATCAAAGTCATTTGAGGTAATTTCGATTATTAAGATTGCTTCGAAGAAATTGCTAATTAACAACTCAATTTAGGTAAAGATTTTGATTATGTTAACAAGATAAGGAGGGCAGTACTTACACCTGTTCGCAGCACGATCTTCTCCTATACCAGTGTACACGTGTTCGAGATTAGATTCTTTACCACGTGTCAATCAATATTTACACATGGTAAAGAATCGAATCTCGCGCACGCGCTGAGGGCTGCAAAGTCATGTCAGCAATGCTGTACGCAATATCGTGTTTATTTTATTTGTAGGTAACCTTTGCCGCTGGGAATACGATTGCTCTAATACTGCAAACACAATAAAATGCGGGCCCAAGATGGTATGCGATTTGACGAATAAGACAGTAAATAATATGGGCAAGTCTCCCTTTTTGTTTTAAAGACGCAATATTTGAACTCTCGCCATCTTTCAGAGTATTAAAGAAATATTTATTTAGGAAATGAAACTATTTTTCCGGATTTAAATCGCGTATATTTGTTTTTTCAAACAAACCGACGTTTCGGGCCCTTTACCATAGGAATGGTCACATGGTTGACTGGGACCTGTAAAGGGCCCGAAACGTAGGTTTGTTGTGAGAGGATTATACGGTTAATAGAATGTCAAATGTGATACTTTGGACAGTTCTTGTCGCAAGAAGCATAGAGTTGAATTTATATATTAAGTGACAACTAGTTTCATGACTTTGAAGCTAGAATAATATTAAATTTAAGTACAAATATTGTCGGTGGTTTGTAGATTTATCGTGTGAGCATGTTTTAGGTTTAAACGACTGATTGAAATATTTACATCCTGTTTTAAAATTCAGTTTTAAAGCACCGACGATATATTGTGTCTATTACAAAATATAGGGTAAAACCGAGTTAGATGGCCATAGGGGGCAGATGGCCAATCGCAATATTTCAATGATCCGCTAACGAGATGGCGATAGTTATTGCTCAGTTTGCATCGTATCGTGTCTAAGAGTAAGTGTACGGCGAATATGTTGAGCAAACAAAAAGAAAAAGTAAGTAGAAACCATGTTACTTGTTTTGACTAATGCTAAAATTTTTCATAGGGTGCACACTGTTTTACACTACAATGAAGTTATTTTTTCAAAATATGGATTTTTATTTTTGTATTTATCGCTTAGTCCACATCCAATGCTTTGTTATAAGCTCAAAATTGTACGTGTCATGTTTTTTCTTGTTTAAATTTTATGTGTGTCCACCTCTCCCGGATTATTAGGACAGATGGCCAATCATAATCGGTGTAAGATGGCCATGTGACCAACTTATACCGATCACACAAAGGTTTAAAATATTAATAAAATAATTTATTTATTTTCGAACCAGTTTTAGATGTATACTAAATGCAAAAGAAAGGTAGCCGCAAAGAGAGGCAATTGCACTGAAGACTCATTAAAAGCAGCTATTAATGCTTAGGAAATGTCCCAATACTTGTAAAGGGCCCGAAACTTTGGTTTGTTTGAAAAACAAATATACGCGATTTAAATCCGGAAAAATAGTTTCATTTCATAAGTGTAACAATCGCGAATACCTAAGAACTCATAGCTATTAAAGCTGCTGCTGCTATGAAACCCGCCTCATCGAAGACTGTCTCCAAAGCGTCGTGTGCCACTTTTGGGTTCAAGAAAACTGAGAATTTGACGACATGAAGAAAAAAGAAGATTTAATAAACAAAACACCAAGTAAAAGACCTATCTAAGTCTAGAAATAATTACTGGCCATCTTACCCATAGTCCTATGGTCATCACACCCGGACACCTCGGAAGAGATGGCCAATCGTAATTTTTTTGAAAACTAATTTTTAGTTCTTAGGTTTTCGCCATTGTTACACATAGGAAATGAAACTATTTTTCCGGATTTAAATCGCGTATATTTGTTTTTTCAAACAAACCGACGTTTCGGGCCCTTTACAGGTCCCATGGTCACGGTTGACTGTTAATTGTTATGTGTAATGTTAATTATTTCTTCATTTTTTTGTAAACTGACGCTCACTTTTTGAAGTAACTAAACTAATAGAATCAGAGTAACGAGAACTACAACCCCCTGTAAACCTTTTTATATCTTATTTAGTTTCTGTTTTAGTCAACCGTGACCATGGGACCTGTAAAGGGCCCGAAACGTCGGTTTGTTTGAAAAAACAAATATACGCGATTTAAATCCGGAAAAATAGTTTCATTAACTAATTTTTAGGTTGGTCTCAAGACAATTTGTTCTTTTTTTCTGTTAAATAATTACCTAATAGTTAATTGTTCAAAGTTTAATAAGACATAGAGATTGATTTTGATATCTAAAATTTTATTTTGACTGCTTTTAGAAAAAGCTATGGCCATCTACCTCGGGTTTACAAAAAAAAATATTTAAACCAATTTTCCAATTGTATAGATATCCCCATCAAACACGATGAGAATGAGCACACGGCGGGTTTTAAAGAATTTCGAAAAGCTAGTAAGTACTATTAAGCAAGTTGTTTCATGCACCGAGTACAAGCTAATTAAATCGGCTGCAGATAGCTGTAAAGGTACCTGGCTGAGTGAAGAAATAGATTTCTCACAGATGGCGCTACGGCAAAAAGGTCGTTAAAAGCCAAAAGCAAAGTTCAGTTCTAATTTGTTCAGTTGGGAGAGCAAAACATTTCGTTAGGTCTGCTGGTTTGTTCAGTTGGGAGTGCGTCTGGCACGGATAGCTTGCTTGAAGGCTGGAATTTTTCTTAGTGTTCGATCTTTGTATTATTAATTATAAATTTATAACAAACTTGTGGAATAATTTCCCAAAAAATAATTGAATATGATGATAGTAAAACATCGTGAAATACAATAAAGTTAAAAATCGCTAATCTCCTTTTGAACTTTGTAGTTGGCGTTTGTATCGTAGATGAAGAAGTAGCAAAAATACGTAAGTAGCCACTATATGTAGTATATTATAATATGTATATGTCATGTTCTTAAAAAGGTTCGACAAACTCCGCACACTGTCAACTTTTCCTTATCGTAACTAATGTAATCGACATTTTGAGCGAAATTGATTTATTAATAAGTCAGGCGTACTTTGCACACTTCCACTCAATTATGACTTATGGTGTTATTCTGTGGGGTAATTCGTCAGACGCTGACAGGGTAATGCGTATACAAAAGCGTGCGTTACGAAAAATGGTCCGCATAACCTAGAGGCAATCCTGCAAGACGCTGTTTGCTGTACACCGAATAATGATCCACTACTGGCAATATGTTTTGAGGGCATTATGTTCACGAGGAAACACTTAGCACAGTTTGGGCCCGTGCACGTGATGGGTGGGTGACTCCGTCTCGCGTGACAACTCCGATCAGTACCACATCGCATTGCACTACACGAGAAAAACCCGCGGATTATAGGACCGACCTACAACGATCACTTACCTGCCGAACTAAAAAATTAATGTTGTGAGGAAACGTTCAAGTGCAGACTGAAAAACCTTTTATTGGAAAAGTCCCTTTACTCAGTAACAGAGTACACTCAAAGTACTTAATAAATAATTAAATTATTATATTTATAAATGAATTTTGACATTCACCATATTATTACACTTTAATATACATTTATTAAGAATCCATATTGACATTTGCCATCAGGCACTTGTTGACTCAGAATTATGTCAAATTTTCGCCGCATGTTCTTATTTCATTGATTATTAATTTACACAGCGCGGATTGCGGGACGCTATGGGTGACCCTCACATCTAACATCCTAAAATCTAGACTCGTGTTGAAATACATCGCCTTAAGCGAAAAAGAAAACAAAAAATAGATGCCAATATCTCGAAATTTACGAAAATGCATATGCGTTAGTTATGACAAGGAGGGCTGTGTATTGTCAATGTTGTATTATTATTATTAAAAACTTATTAACTTCTTAAAAAATGGGAATTGAAAAGTGAGCTGTGCTTGGTATAATATCTATGTCTGTTTCTATAGGCTGTTGTTATCGCCTTAGTCATAAATAAAATAAAGTGATTCTTTAAAAAACTGAGTTCTCAAAAAGTTAGACTGGCAATTTCATAGCACTTCTGAGATAAGGAAAAAAAACGTGCTACTCAAAAGTCGGAGATAAAAATGTTGTTAACATAACTTCTTTATCTTCTTACGATTTCTTACAATTCCAATATTATTTTCAGTTTTTCATCGCTATTCTTTAATTGAAGATGGAGATACGAAGCCATTTTCAGAATCCGAAAGTTTAAATGACTACTTTAGCAGAGTTATGGCGAAGATTAGCAGTACAAAGAGTGAGTGATGTTTTTATACTGAATTGTAACCGTCAAATAGTCGTACAGCTTATAGCCAATACATTTACGATACTTAGGAAATGTTAACTGCCATGTATCATAGGATGTTATATGTCCCATGTGTGTGATTGCGCTGACTTTCCTACCATTCGATATGAGGCAGAATAATGGCAACGGATTCTACACAGACAAAGCCGTACAATCTCTAAAGGATGCCTATACTTCGTCCAACCAATTATTTAACTTTTGATGCCTCCGAAGTTCCGTAATTATTGACATACAACCATAGACAAAAATGCAATATTTCCTGGACTCTTACATTTTTTAAATTTTGTGAAGCGACGTGCTCTTTAGCTCCGATATTTATCAAGAGTACAGATTATGTAACGAAGATGTTCAAGTTGATAAATTTTGGTACCTGTCTAATAAATTAATATTAATAATGAAAGTAAATAGATTATAAATAATTATAATAAATTTTTATTGTTTATTATAATGATTCGTCGGATTCGTCTCCATATTAGCGGGAATCATCACTTGAAACCTCATTAACATTAATTATTAATTCTTGAGTACACAAATTATAATATTATAATAATAATAATAATTTATTCCCAAAAAAGATTGTATCACAAAATTGAGATAAATGGTAATTAAATACTAGTTGTACAAAGTGATTTGTTCAAACTCTGATCATCCAAACTAGGCACATGCCTGTATCTTGGAAATCAGTGTCCAACCAGTGGAAGGAAGTGGAAATTGTCAAACACAACATCACGATGCCATCCCAGTCAGATAATATCTTCTTTTTTGAACCCGTGCACATTCACGATTAAAACTTCTTCATAAATAAAATCGATTGTTATAAAAAATCGAATCGGAAACGCGTTAGGACATCACTAATTGATTAGAATTCGAGCTGTGAAAAGTTAAAAAATGTGTGGACGGAATATAGCTACTTGTAATGATGTACATATAATTTAGTGCATTTCTGTTTTTCATCACCGCTGAACCACAACGTACGTCATACCGTAACATGATTTTTGTTTATACTTTATAAAATGTTTTGTGTATTTTACGTAATATTCTTTGGGCCTATTCTTTGGAGTCTAACGGAACAAATGAGTCAGTGGCTCGGTGAAGCACATGCCACACTACACACAGCCTAGTATTGATGCTTTTAAGTTTTTAAGATGGAAGATTAATGTCGCAAGTCTGAAAACAAATCCCCATATGGATAAGACACCCTTGACACAATGTAGGTATTAAGAGTGTTTTTTGCATTGTAAACATTGGTTTAAGACCGATTCAAGATTAGTGCAAGTGGACATAAGTGAAAACATAAACACATATTTACAGAAAGAATGAATGAATGAATTATTATTTTTTACCGAGTGACTGATATAGTGATTGTTGTTCTCGTAGGTGCATTTGTTTGTGTTATTGTTTAAGTTTATTGTTCATTGTGGAAGTTTTTAATGAGCATTTGATTATTTACATGGAATTTCATTTTCCAAAAATAAGCACCCCAAATTTAATAAATAAACAACTAACACAGGAAATTACAATTAATACAAATATTTACAATATTGTGAAAAATTCAGAAATTTCTAAGTACAGTCGGTGCCCTCACTTATGTATCCACTATTTGTACTAAGTTGTATACAAATAGTGGATACCTAAGTGAGGGCACCGACTGTACATATTTTATACATCTGCACACATAAGAATGTATTACAGAAGTTTATTAATTTTCATTTCTATTTTAAGTAATTTTTTTAACGAGTATTTACTTCTTATGATCCCATTGCGATGAAATATCTAAGCCTGATCTAATCTGGTTCCACAATATAATAAGACAAGTATGGTAACTTCATACAAACGTAGTAGCACAGTGTGCATGTGTGTGCGCCCGGCGCCGTGTACGAACTCACACATTCGCGTAATCTCTCGATGCACTCGCGTTTCACGTGCTGCTACGTTCGTATGGAGTTACCATACTTGTCTTATTATATTGTGGAATCAGATTAGATCAGGGTTAGACATTTCATTTCAATGGGATCATAAGAAGCAAGTACTCGTTAAAATACTTAAATTAAAAATGAAAATTAATTAATACTCGTCTTATTATATTTTGTTGGTACGACAGGGTGACGGACGCAGTAGCACCGTCTCACTGCTTTGACATTTAAAGTTCTGAATGGCGCTGCAATTGCTGTGTAGGCCTGTCGCTTACAACCAGGCGCACGACAAGTTCGTTCCGCCACTAGATGTCATAAAAAAAAAAACCATTAATCGGCCTAAATAATATTTCGCTACTAAGTATAAGTAATTGATTATTAACCGATTATGCACTTAGTAAAACAGTCACCGTTACTATTAGGGAGTATTTATTTTGACGACCTGGCATATTGGTTAACATTTTGGGCGCTTGATGACGAGATTTCGGTAAGATCAATTTGGAAGACAAACTTTTCTAAAATGGTTCTGGTATAGGTGCTGCCCAGGAGTGCCTAGGTACTGCCCAGGAGTTAATTCCATTGCTCTGGTACTCATAGTACAGGCAGTTGCCTGGTTTGAGACCTTGCTGTGGTTGTCTGGAACATTAATAATATTATTTCTAATTTTGCTTTATTTACGCTTTGTTTCAGCTAATTATGATAAATTGTACACGAAACCTATGTCCAACAATATCGACGTAACCACGGTGAGATGTTTTACTTCTTGAATAGAAAACGTTCTTCATTTATTACATTTGCAATTCAAATTCGCATTTATTTTAAAGATGTAATAATTTACTAATTTATTCGCCGACATCCTGTTAAGGGTAAGATCAATGTGTATGACCAAACTTTCGACTATCGAAATCAAATGAGCTGTTCTACATTTTTTCCTATGTCTATGGTTCTACAGTACCGGCAGATTACAGACACAATAATAATAATTTTGACGGATTACAATAGTGAGGTCAAATCTCAATTCATTATCGAAAAAAATGTAATCAAATGCGAGTCGCATCTATAAGGTTTTATATTTATAACTAGTATCTGCCTTGATAAGCCGAAAAGCGCTATCTCAATCGGAGTAAGTTTTGAGAAAACCGACTTTTTGTAAATTGTATTTTCGCACCTTCAAAAATAAATCTTTTTGAAGATGTTAAAACTTATTTATACGTATTTTTGACTAATAGATTTATTGACTTACCTAAATTATCCATAAATTGTACCAGTATATCTATTTTGAGCGATACCGCTATTTTGATTATAAACAAAGGTTTCAAAAATTGAGATATAAAAATTTTTCTTAGCGGTATTTTAAATTCAGATAGCGCTATTTCTATTATACTATTAGATGCGAAATTATTATAGCTATTGAATGGTATAAAAAAAATTAAAAAGGCGTATCTCAGAGATAACGCCTTTTGCCTCAGCAGGGCAGTACTGCAAGGGGTAGCTGATTAAAAAGTTTTAATAAAAAGAAAATAAAAATGTTAACTTTATATATCGTAAATTCCAAACTGCTTTGTTTTGCATTGAACTTTGACGCGAGTTTGCCGGAGGTAGAAGTTGTGCTGACGAGCGATCCTATAAGTGACGATCGTATTACATTTTTTTTAAATTTCGAAAAAACAAATGCCGTGTTGTGTCGTAAAATTATACATCCATAAATTTTACTGCACCTCATTATTGACAACAATGTACATCAATTAGCTCCTTCAACGTAGTTATGAATTAATACTTAACTTGATGAGGGGAAAACGTCAAAACGGCCATCATAGCGTGGCAGTACTATAATGAATGAAACTTGTTTTTTTTTTACGAGTTAGAAAGGGTCTCCGTTATAAAAGTTGTTTTGTTTTATTTACTGAACATATCCTTAAAAGGATGTCAGCTGCTAAAGCAGCTAAATTACGATTGCAGTCGTAGCCTAGTCGGAGAACGGATGTTTGAGAGGTCAATGATTTGAATGCCTCGGCATGTACAGTCACAAAATCCAAGCTTGACAATTCGGGCAGTTCTTATAACACCAGGCATAGAATTGAACTTCTTCAAAGTCAACCTTGTTGTGGTCCTGACCAACCTACGACCTTACTGTCTGAGCACATTTATGAATGTCGTATCTGTTTTTAATCTTACCTTGTTACGATTGCACCGTCTGTTTTGAACCCAGCTCTCCAGTTGACTGGTAGAGAATATCTAATAGTAGATAGTCCGCTGTTTATACAGCTTTGTGTGAAATAGAGTGTAAAGAAATAAAAGTTCCGTAATACCTGTAAAAATCTGCCGTGGTAGCCTAATGGTAACCTATATACAAAGCTGAGTTTCGAATCTTGACTCATACCTCTGAGTTTCTCGGTGTGAAATTTAATTGCTTGAGCTTTTCGGTGAAGAAAAGCGTCGTAATAAAACCTGTACGTTGAAGAAGGTTCACAACTGTCGGAAAACGTGTATAGTCCCCAACCCGCATTGTGCCAGGGTGGCGGATGTATAAATGGATTGACGATGATGAGTAATACCTCTCGCTAACCGTAAAGGAGAACATCACGACGTAACCTGCACGTAGAAAAAAGTTCACAAGCCTTAAAAATGTCTGAACACAAAGGTATATAGACTAAACCCTCTTCTTAGGGGATACTCGTACCCGCGGAGCGGGTGCGCGAGGACGCGCCGGACGCGCACCCGCTCCGGCGCAGACGTACGGGGAGAAGGCGAAGGCAGTTCGCTGCTCGCCTGATCCCCTAGTGAGACCAGCGGGCTCTGGACAGGGACTCCGGAGCCTGCATTGCACGGTCTCACTCGTCTGGGGGGCGGGTCGGAGGACAACCGACTCGCCCCTCCGTTGGCGCGGGAGCCCTGGCATAAGCTAGGGCGGCCGGGCGGCGTCGTGGTGAATGTTCACTGATCACACGGCGCCGACTCAACCGGCGAGAGGGAAACCCGAGGGGGTTTTAGTGGGGTAGGCCCTCCAGTCTCAGGGAGAGTCCCCACATAATCTTTATGGATACCCCTGAGCCCAGGGAGACTCAGGGGTATCCATAAAGATTTCCCCCCCGAAAAAAGGGGATACTCGTGCAAAGCAGTGGCACGCGTAATCGGTTGACGACTATGATGATAGATTGATATCAATTAATCAATATAATTCAACGAGTTACCCCTTACCATATTAATAGTTGTGTAAATGACCGTGAAACTTTCCGAGGAGGAGTTTCCCAATTCGACTGCATTTCTTTTTTTTTATGTATTTCTTTTTTGTGCATGTTACGCGATTATTCCGATATTTGTGAACCGATTTCCATAATTCTTTTGTTAGAAACGGGTACCTCAGTAGTGGACACATTGAAATTTGAAGAAAATATTCAACCTCTAAGGGTGGCACATAAAAAAATAATTCCGGTTTGTTGGATTTCACCTACTTTCCGTTAAGCAATTACAATAAAACTTAGCAAATAGATGTAATTTCACAAAATTTTCAGGTTTACATCTCTTATTTCTTCTTAGTTCTTTTGATAATTAATATATAATAATTTTTTCAGCCATCAACCATTGCATCCACGCCTCCATTAGATCAGAATACTACAAGTACATCAAGAATAGTAATAAATTTTGCCAATGCTACAACAAAGGGAGCGCAAATACGTATCCATGTACAAAAAAATAGTAGTTGATTAAACCTCTCACGAGAGAAGACGACTCCTCCTGGAGGTTCTGCAATTATAAAAATAAAAGGTTCTACAACAGACCGTACACTTTCCAATATGCAGTAATCATGAAAACCCAAGCCCCCTTGGTATAAAAACAATTTAAAGGCAACAAATTTATAACTAAAATCATAGTATAATCGAGAAGATAGGTAACTTCATACAAACGTAACAACGTGGTTTGTATGTGTGCGCGCCGGTCGCGTGCCGTGTACGGACGCGCGCATTCGCATAATCTCGAGATACACTCGCGTTGCTTACCACTGGTTGTCCATGCGCCTTTCATTATTATGTCAATGTGTGCCGCGCTGTTACTGAGTATAAAGTTACCATACTTGTTTTAGCTTACTATGCTAAAGCTGTGACATTGGTTTAAGCACTTTACTTTACACACACATTTACCCTCTTTTCCTATAATAAAATATTATTAACCGAAATAAAGATTTATGTAAAATTTACGTATTTATTATTTGATGACCTCGGTGGCCCAACGGCTTGCACTGTGAACGCTGGGTGACGAGGCCCAGGGTTCGAATCCAAATAGGACCAATTTAGAAAATGAACTTCTCTGCGTTGAATTCCCAAGTTTCAAATCAGGTAGTTGGCGTTTTGCACATTATTGCTGTATTATTTATAATGGAAGTAGCTTATACGCCGACTATTACTTATAAATAAAGGTAAATGGGTTACACGAGTCGGCCCGACCGCACTGTATGAAGTTTTATAGGACAAGGACACTGAGTCCGGGAATCAGGTGACGCCATTCACACTCTCTCCACCACATACACAAGATCTGCTATTGTGAGTCCCCGCAATAAACTTCATGGTCACAGGCTTGTTATAAAGTTGATTCCAATTGCGTTTCTACCCTTTTATTAAATTCCCTCTTTGTAATAAGAGTGAGTTTATCGTGACCAACGAGAAAGCGATGGGGACCTCGTCTGCATTTCAAATGAATGGACATAATCCATATTTCAGTGGAGGTAGCAGTTGCAAGCCACGATCGATCGAGGATTACGAGTCTTGGTACGGAAAATCCGGTGGATTGATGAAAAACTAACGGGGACAGATTGTCTTAATTCTAAGTAACCGTCGTCGTCTAAGCTTATTTAATTATAGCGCTACGTCTCGCCGGCATCTTAATAAGGTTTACATCAACTTCATAGTTACAAGAGGTGTCAGCACCCGCTTACGGGGAATTTGCCAGACACATACCCGACTAGACTAAAGACATTTAAGAATTCGTCCAGAGAGGTACTGCCACCTTGCCTATTTCTGCCGCCAAGCAGTAATGTAAGCACTACTGCGTTCCGATTTTGAAGGGTGTGGGTGCTGTTGAAATTACAGACGACGAGCGCAGTGAAAGTGCTCCTCAGATCTTTGTGATTTAAACCTCTAAGCGGCAATGCAACTGTTATGGACAGGCGTAGGCGTGTCGTTTACCACCAGGCGCACGACTTATTCGTGCCATCACTTGATATTATAAAGAAAAGGTATTTTTCATTCGATGTTACCTTTTTTGATCTCTTTATGTATTCTTATTGAATGTATTCTAAGTTATGTTAATTTTCCTTTGATCTTTTAGACAAAGAAGTGAAAAATTGCGTTTCCGCGAACTTACAGCGTATGTTCAGCATTAATACAACTTACATGATAATCTACTGTATATTATCTTATTTCTCCCTTCTGTATTTAGGTATTCGATATTCGGTAGAATGAGCCGAATAGCGAATACCAACCGTCTATCGTCTCATTGTATCATTAAAGAAAACGTGCTATTCGTACAAGAGAATACGGCTTCTACTGGCATTTTAAACTCATTTGTTACGGTACTCTTTACTATAACTCTGCATTGTTGAAGAACTGAACTGATCGTTAAGTTGCAACTTAATTATAAGTCACAAGAACCGACTGTTTTGGTTGAAAGCTGACATTTCAATTTGACTTTGTAGCGCGCTGTTTGTGCTCAGGCCGGGAGTCGAGTACAGCCGGGGTATTGCAGATGACAGTGGTAGCACAACCCTATTGCTACAGCAATACTCTGCAATGCCGACTTACGAAAATTAATTTAACTTAGATCCCTGTTCCGGCTGTTGAAACTCAATTTGTTATACAATTAACACATAAGGCATGTGAGCGCGTGTTAACATTCATTAACTGCCGGCGGACTTGTTTTATTTTGAAACAGCAAAAATGTTAAACAAAAGCAATATTAAGGTAACGCTTTGCATTTTTTCTGTAACGTTGTTTTTCAATGCTCGAATAGAAAAAAACTTCGTTCAGTGAAATGTGGAATTAACGGATTTATTTTAATTATTAAAAAGAGTAAATCTGAAGCAGTAGATATCTGTTATTAGTGTCGGCAATTCTTTTATTTAGTTGACAACGACGCTGCGATTCCAATTTGCTACTTGGCAAATTGAAAATTTCCAACCAACACAGCTATCTTGAGGCTGAGTTAATCTACAACTTGTTTCAGTTTAAACGTGTTCTTTAAAATGAAATTTACAATACTTATCTAAACTTTTTTAATTATATATTAAATTTGAAAAGTATTTCACTGAATAACCTGTTTTCGTGTTGAGGAAAATGATAAACAACTGCTAAAATTGGACTTTAACTGATAAAAAAAAAAGTATAAACATAAGAATAGAAGACACAGCTCACCTTACTGATTTTTCGAATTTCACGTAGTTTTAGCATCGTATATTCTTGTATTTTTGTGAAATTACTCCACTAATTTGTTATAATTACAAATACAAATATCGGACACAAAGAAATACGCCTTCCATCCATCCATGCAATGTTGAACCTGTGGCCAGGTAGCGTAGCCTCGCTCTGCCAACTAAACTACAGGTCGAGTAAGCAGGTCAACGAGATTCTGCTACATATGTATCTATTCTTTTCTTCTGAGATCTTTGTATCGATTGATTTCGATCTTTGTGATCTTTTTTCGTCTTTCAACGCCGCAAGCGACATCTTATGAGATATTTATGAACCTGCTCACTCTGTACGCTACCGTGCAGCGTGCTCACAGGTTCAAGTCCTGTCGGGTCGAAAGATTTTTCTTGGTGCGAACACAAATTTTTGTAAATGATTATCACTAGTATCAGGTTTCTTACCACGCTATAACTTCTTTTTATTTTCCCGATATTTCGGAACGGTTGCACGCTCCATGGTCACGGGTTGACTCAGTTACAAATTTTTGTGTTAATAATTATAGCTCACTTTACGTAAAACAAATGGAAAAGGCGGGAAAGGACTCGGTAAGAGAGGCGCAAAACGCCACAGAAAAATTCTTAAGTTCTTAGCAACAAGAGGCGGCGTCAAACGAATTTCTGGTTTTATTTACGAAGAAACGAGAGGTGTTTTGAAAGTATTTTTAGAAAATGTCATACGTGATGCTGTCACCTACACGGAGCATGTGAAAGGAACCGTTACGGCCATGGATGTAGTCTATGCATTAAAGAGACAAGGAAGAACTTTGCATGGCTATTGATCGATGATGACGTTATTAAAGCCCTTTACAGCGCTGCAAAAAAATGCGCAGTTACTTAAACTACGTTACTTAATATGTGATAATAAGTTTCACATAAATTTAATTAACAATTCTCGGATTAGACGTTTATCCAATTATTGTATGTAATTAAGTCTCACAATTAACGTTCTAATGAGGACTAGGTCGTGGCTTGCTTTAAGAGATTTATAAGACTGTGGTACGACAGGTTAGCGTACCCAATTATGTTTCGATCAGGGAAGCGCTTGCGGCGACGGGGCGCCCGGTGCGGCTGTTATGCGGTGCAGCGCGTGCGGTCGCCGTAACCTGATTATTGGCTTGCTTCGTGGTACCACTCACCGCCCATCCTAATAATTTGATATTCACCTAACTATCGCTGCATGCCAATAATATCATTACTGTCAACGTTTTGTTTCCTTCGGTTAAGTAACATAATTCTAATTAATTCTTTAAATAAAATTAATAAATAAAATTAGGCTGTATTTGATATGCATAAATTTCAAACAAAACAACAAAAAATTAATAAAAATTATTTCAATAAAAATAAAAAAGAAGCATACAAAATAATAAAAATAAAATAAAAGCATGTCATGCTGATTACACAACCCTCGCTGTTATTCTGTCATGGCCCGTCATAATATGGAACACCACAATTCAAATAATAATATATATGTTACATGTTACGTACAAAACATAATCTCAGTACAGAGTACTAAAAAAACCGACCTCAAAAATACGTGGCATTACATCTATTTGCCAAGCTTTATTGAAATATCCCCTAGTTCGCCACTATACAGGACTTGACACTGGAGATAATAAAAATCGGTTCTCACTACTCAAAGTATATGGAGAGAAAAACGCCTTGAATTGGAGAAATAGCAAAATCAACCATTAAAGTAATTGCTCCTAAATTAATGTTAGGCGCTATTTAGGAAAATGAATCTTCATGCGTGAACAGCCACCCTTCGAGGTGGATGATTTCTTCAAAATGAAATGGGACCACTATGGAAGTACCCCCTTTCCAACAAAATAAGAATCATGAAAATCAGTTCACAAGTACCGGAGTTATCGCGTAACATACATACAAAAAAAAGAACATACAGTCGAATTGAGAACCTCCTCCTTTTTTAAAGTCGGTTAAAAATCCAAAATTAAAATAACTGTAGACATTTAGGCACTAAGTAACTAAAATTTGACGTAAGCAACAATTGGACGAAGTAATTAATCAATTTGAATAATAAATAAGTAATTTAAAAAGCATAATACCAAATATACACAAATACACAGAACAGATATACGCTACTTCTTAAAGCCTTTTATTGAATATCAGAATGCTTCACCACCATGATATTGTCGGGGATAGTGCAAATCCGCGTATGTAGTATTGGTAAAAAGCGCGTATCTGCATTAAACCAAATTTGACAGGATATATAGGGATTTCATTTTTGCACAACATAACAATAGATTCCCGTAAATCACGCTAATTTGATTGCCACGACATTTACACGGACTTGATTTGGCCACTAAATTAGCGAAATGCAAACTCATAGTCAAATGCTAGTTACGCGTAATTGATAGTGCAACCTCGACGACATTCAATTATTTTTTGTGAAATTACTTCACTAGTTCGTTATAATTATTAAAACAGAAAAATTTGTATTAATAATTATAACATAATTCTGTTTTAAAAAAACATTTTTTCGGATCTAAATGGCGTATGTTTGTTTTTTTTTTCAAAGAAACCTCGAATCAGTCAGGTGTGACCGCGGACCAGTAAAGGGTCTGAGGGTATATTTGAAAAAATAAATATACGCGATGCAGAACTGAAAAAATAGTTTAATTTCCAATATGTAACAATCGCAAAAATCTAAAAACTCGATAACATAAATTGTGTTTGGGTAATTTTCGGGTAAATTTTCTGTAAGTAATATCGGTGGAAATTTTTAACCGACTTCAAAAAAAGGAGGAGGTTCTCAATTCGACTAGTATGGAATGGGACCACTCCTGGGTCCCATTCCAATTGGAAGAAAATATTCCACCTCTAAGGGTGGCAAACTAGGGGATGAATCCGGTTTCGCGTAACCGATTGTAATAAAACTTGGCAAATAGATGTAATTCCACGAAATTTTGAGGTCGGCTTTTTTAGTACTGAGATTATTATTATTTAAGTAGTTGAAATTTTGAGGTCGGCTTTTTTAGTACTGAGATTATTATTATTTAAGTAGTTAAAGTAATTAAATAAGAAACAATATTTCAGGTTAATGCACTCGACATACCAATATCATTACTGTCAGAATTTTGTTTCCTTCCGTTAACTAACATAATCTGTTGAAAATACTATTTTTTTCGGATTTAAATCGCATATAATTGTTTTTTCAAACAAACCTCTGAGTCAGGCGTGACAAACCTCTAATTTATTTCTGTGTTTTGGACCGCTTGCCATTCGAGCCACTTGTGAACGCCTACGTCTCTTGTTAGATTCAATTTTACGGACCAGAGGTTTATATTAAGAAACCCTTGAAGTTAATGTCAAGGTTAAAATTAGAAGCTAAAGTTACGATTTAAATTAAGCACACCCCTTATACGTATTAAAACATAATTAATTTAGTTAGGTAATTTTATTGATGATAATAATAATAATTTATAAAACATCCAGTATTTAATTTCACTAGGACATAACTATCGTGAATCTACGTCTTTTATTTTTATTTTATATTTATAATAACATTTCGAGTTATTAATCATGTATTCCATTTTTCTTTAATTTAGTTGTAATGAAAATAAATCATGTTAATTTATTTGTTCATTTGCAAAGGCGGCAAGAACTAAGATCCTTTTTAACCGACTTCAAAAAGAGGAGATTCCCAATTCGACTGTATCTTTTTTTGTGTATGTTACGTGGCTACTCCATTTGGGAACCGATTTTGATGATTTTTTTTGTTGGGTACCTCAGTATTGGTCACATTTGAATTTGAAGAATATATTTCACTTCTAAGGGTAGTAAATTAAGGGAAATCAGGTTTATTGGATTTCAACCACTTTCCATTAACCATTTTCAATTAAACTCGGCAAATAGGTGTAATTCCACAAACTTTTGAAGTTGGTTGATTTTTTTTTGTTGGGATATTCCCTAACGTATTTAAAAGAGCGCTGATACATCCTATTCACAAATCTGGAGACAATGACGTCGTTAATAATTATAGACCGATCTCCGTTCTTCCGGCTATGTCGAAGATACTGGAGAAGGTACTAAACTATCGATTAACTAACTACCTGGAATCAAAACACTTACTTTCTAGTAACCAATTCGGCTTCAGACAGGGAAAATCCACCAATGACGCAGTGTCTGCGCTAATTAACGATGTTATCTCCCACCTTGATAAGAAAGACAAATGTCTCTGTATATTTCTAGATATTACAAAAGCTTTCGACACGGTCTCCATCCCTTTACTTCTGTCAAAATTAGAAACATTGGGTATTAGAGGTACCCAACTGGATATTTTCAAAAATTATCTATCAGACCGCTCGCAGGCTGTTAAGATGGGGAGTTATGTTAGTTATGATGAACGACTTACAATTGGCGTTCCGCAAGGAAGTATTCTCGGACCTACCCTCTTTACTGTGTATATTAATGACCTGTGCCAACTTCAGCTTCCAAATTGCAGGATCTACACCTATGCTGACGACACTGCCCTGCTAATACATGGCAATACATGGGAAGAAGTGCGTTTACTGGCTGAGAATGCTTTTACTGCAGTAATGAGATGGCTAACCTCTAATCTACTCACTCTTAACATATCTAAAACCGTATTTATGCCGTTCGCTCTCAAGCGGGTTTCCATTCCACCCACTTCTACATTTCTTATAAAGGCCCATACCTGCGAAACTCCAAGTCATAACTGTACTTGTCCTTGCATTGCAGCCACCAGTCAGGTGAAATATCTCGGTGTCATTATTGACCAAACCCTTAGTTGGCGCAATCACATAAATTATTTGAATACGCGTGTCCGTAAACTAATATATGTCTTCAAAAACCTCCGACAAGTGGCTGATGCTGACACCCTCTACATGACTTATTCTGCCCTTTGTGTATCCTTGCTCACTTACTGTCTTACAGTTTGGGGTGGTGCGGCAAAAACTACTATACTTAAACTGGAAAGAGCCCAGAGGGCAGTCCTAAAAGTTATGTTTAAAAAACCCTATCGGTATCCAACTTCGTTATTATATGCCCACACCTCAGTTTTGTCGGTTAGGCAGTTATACGTACTACAAGTGATCTTACAGAAGCATATCCTATTAAAATTTGACCCTGCTATCCTTAAGAAACGTAAAAATAATTATGTCTGTCCAAACAGGCAACATAAAACTACTTTGGCTGGAAAACACTTCCGTGTACTCAGCTCGCGTTTATATAACTCCTGTCATAGTAAAATAAATATTTACTCTCTTTCCCGTTATGAAGTCAAGAAAAATGTTACAAATTGGCTAAAAAGTCATGACTACGCTGCCACAGAGTCGCTGTTAAGGTAATTTCATATTTGTTGCATTTTCATAGTTACTCACAGAGGCTGTCTACTTCCATTCAAACTTATGGCTTCTGACTCTCCTATTTTCAAGACCTTTTTATGTACTCAATGGCAACAATTATAACAAACCCACATACATCTCATTTACACACACGAACTTTCGAATCACTCAAAATACATAACACCCACACTCCACTATTTTTTGACACACTGCTCCATTACTAAACTAACATAGTTTAAGTTTCACATAAATTACACTAACTCTTTCTTTTGCATCTTCTGTATAAGTTTTTTTTTTAACATTACAAATTTGTCCCTTCTGGGTCCCAAATGAACAGTTATATTGTACTGGTTTTGGGACTACAGACTTCCTTTTTGTATTCTCGTAAGCCATATGCTTAAAATATACGATTGATGCTTTCCCGCCGTGGCTGCAACAGTACCATCTGCGAACACAGGTTAAATCCTTACGTAGGGTCTGCATGTTGCCTGACTGGACAGCAATCAATCAATTGCTAATTAAGTATTGTAACTATCTCTCCAGTAACTGTGAATGGCTATCAATAAAGTTATTATTATTATTATTATTATTTTATAAAAAAGGTATAATGTTGGATATCTTTAAATACATATATTTATTATTATTATGTATTTTGATTTAACAATCTATATTCATGTTTTTGTGTTAGTAATTCTAATAATATTCACTTGTTGTTATTTATTAAAAAAATTGTTTATTTCATTTTAATTGC